GTAACAATAATTTATAGCTACAATAAACAATTTTTTAGTAAGTAAGTTATTGGTTTTGATTATTTTTTTTGTATAGGCTGCCCCCTCCCCCTTCCCTCCCTAAATTTCGTTCTGGCTACGCCCATGTTTCTGCTATTAAATTTTTGTTTTTCCTTGCTCGCTTGCCCTCAATGTGCGTCTTGGCATCGTAAATGGTGGCAGCTTGCGATAAATCAAAGTCGCTTTTTCTCGCAACAAAGGCATGACTCATTCTAAATTATATTTACATGTAATCGATGGTGAAATAACGGCAGACTTTATGATAAGTCATTTATTCCATTTTAAATGAATATATGAATAACTATTTATTGAACATATCGAATATAATTTAATTTATTTGTATGCAGAGGATTCTGAAAATCTCTTTCCTGCTTTTACACAGAATAATTTAACATATTGCATAAAATTAGGCGATTGGGAATATAATTTCATTTATTTGTACCTAGACGTTTCTGAATATCTGTTTGCTGCTTTTACTCGAAGTAAAGAAAATGGCGAACTGTCAACATAGGCCAAACACTTTAATACGACGTTTATGTCCACTCGCGCTTTCTTGTTAATCAAGATTTCAGCAACTTCCCGATGAGTTTGAGACTTGAAATTTTAAATGTCTGGGAAGTTGGCATACGAAAAAAAAAAACAAAAAAAAATTGAGTATGCCAGATTCACGCAGCATACAACATTTGGCAAAAAGGTAAATAAAAAATTGTTCTGATAAGCTTTTCAATAGTTCTAGAGTTCCAGAGAAGGAAAAAGAAAGGTCTGCAAAATTACGCCGAAAAATCTTTTTTTTTCACAAAACTCGAAAAAGTTTAATTTTTGAAAAAAATAAAAATTAAAACTGTTCTGAGTAGCTATTCAATAGTTCTAGAGTTCCTGAAAAGGAAAAAAAAGTTCGGCAAAATTACGCCGAAAAAAACTTTTTTTTCAAAAAACTCGAAAAAGTTTAATTTTTGAAAAAAATTAAAACTGTTCTGAGTAGCTTTTCAATAGTTCTAGAGGTCCTGGGAAGGAAAAAGAAAGTTCTGCAAAATTATGCCGAAAAAATAAATTGTTTCAAAAAAGTCGAAAAATTTTATGTTTGAAAAAAAAAATTAAAACTGTTGTGAGTAGCTTTTCAATAATTCTAGAGTTCCAGAGAAGGAAAAGAAAGTTCTGCAAACATATGTTTGTTTTGAAAAAAATGTTTTTTTGGCCTGATTTTGCACAATATTCTTTTTCCTCCTCAGGAACTCTAGAGCTATTGAAAAGCTATTCAGAACAGTTTTAATTTTTTTTTTCAAAAGTTTAACTTTTTGACTTTTTTGAAAAATAAAAAATGTTTTTTTCGCCGTAATTTTGCAGAACTTTCTTTTTTCTCCTCAGGAACTCTAGAACTATTGAAGGTTTGTTGGTAGGCGCGATGCCACGAGCAAAGGTGGCACCGTCAGACGTACCGCTACTTTGGTATTTTAACCTTTATTTATTATTTACCAAATACCCGGCGTGCTTCACTGCGCCTTAAAAGTATTTTTGGGTTTTTACTTCCTCCCAAAACTCTTATGGCCACATTCATAAAAAATAAAATAGATTTAAAAAGCTTTATGAAGTGACATTTTCTAACAAATTTTCAGTGTATGCAGCAATCTTTATTTCTTATGAATATGAGTATTGCGAATTATATGGGTATTATGAACATACTTTCGAAGGTATTTAGAAAGTTGGACATTTTATTTATAATCTTATAGCTCGAGTCTATATATCGCACACTTTCCTTAAAGGTATATCAATTCAATATTTACCTTATTTTTCATAAATTTTTCAAAAAGGTGGCAATCCACCTCAAAAGCACTTTTCTAAACCTCTTTAGTTTGATACCCCAATCGCAATATTTACTGAAATTTTCAAACAGGTGGCAACTCTCTACTTTTGCCATGTTTTAATTTTGAGCTCCACCAGCATTATATAGATGAAAACTGCATACAATTCCATGCATTAGTTTTCGAGTGATGCGCATACAAACACACAGACAGACAGACAGACAAAAATTCTAAAAATTGTTGATTTGGCTTCTGTTGCTCTAAAAATTTAAGTAAAAGGTTTGAAATTTTATGAAAAAGCAATTGCTTAGTTTTTATTCATATGGCCCTGAAAATAAAATTTAATTTTAATCGCCAGCCATTGGATTGAAATTAAATTTTTCCAAGATCATAGCCTCATCAAATGTGCACCGTCACTGTGCTATGTTTCTTTGCCGGACCTCTCTCAATAATTTACATTTTATAATATTTCATAGTGACAAATAGTCTAAAGCAACTAACTACTTGCCTGCCAAACCCTTTCGCGATTCTTCTACGCTCAAGAACGTAAAACATATTCACTTCGTCATAGTCAACTACCATCACTGCACATATGTATTTTCTAAAGTTTTTCCGGATACGATAAATGTTATTTCGTAAATGGTACTTTTGTACTTTTCATTTGCAATAAGTACCAATTTCCGCATATATTTCTTATTTTCATTTCTATTATTATTTATTTTTTTGCCAGCAATCTCGAAACAATTGTCGCTGTTGTTGATGACAGTAATTTATTGATATATTGCAAGGAATATCTCAGCGATATCTGTGCGTTAGCTGCTGCCACCGGTGCACCGCGGTGCCGCCTCTGTGGCAACTTTGGAATAATTGTCGCGGATTTTCGTCGCTCGCCTATCAGCGAATATATAATGAGAAGCATTTATATTTATACACACATATCTATTTATATGTATTTGTATTTGTATTTCTACTTAGTCACTATCAGCCTTAAATAGCATTCTAAAGACATGGCTGCCGCCACCCACACTGCAGCAATGCGGTTAGTTGTATGCCGCTGGTGGCAGTCATAAATCGGCAGGGTAAAACTAGATTTGTGACGGAATGAATCGTTCCACAATGGGGCAGATACCCTTCAAAGGTGCCGACAATAAAAAAAAAAACAATAATCATTTCAGGATAATTTCACCATATTGCTTAGTTAAAATACTTATTAATCAAGGCACTGTTTGTCACAATTTAAATTATCCTTAAAAGCCCAATTCGTTGTTAAAGTTAAGCAAACTTACGTTTTATGTAGCCAAGACAAATTTAGTTGAATAGAAAAAACAGTAGAGGACTATGATCCTTTTTTTCTTAACACTTGCAACTTCACTTTCCACTTTATACTAAAAGAAGGCACTGGAAACTTTGATTTTTGCAATATATATGTATAGGTTTTACCGACAAAATCGGGCGGACACGTCCACTCGCAGGAATGATCGGAACAATTGTAGTTTTTCAAAACGAACATAGTATGACATTTGTCTTAGCTGTGTACTTGTTTGTATGTGTAGGCGTATTAGAAGTGTGAGGTGTATACAAAGGTGGTGGATATAGAAATTAAATGTCTAGGCAGTGATGGGCAACATATACTAAGTATTAAGTGTTAAGTTGTAGTAAATACCAAAGTAGTACATATTTACTTAAGTATTTTGGACGTTACTAATTACCGAGTATGATAGTATTTACTTATTTTAACAGCGCTAAATACCTTGTCTACTTAGTTAGTTTCACCGAATGCAACATCGCGTACAAAAGGACTTTGAAACTTTGGCTTCACTAAATACTGGATACCAAACCACTTAGTACTTTTGACTTGATTGAATACTAAATAAACACCTGCTATTTCCGGATTTTCGAGACTGCCTTGGGATGTCTAAGATTTTCGACACAATATCGAGATTTTAGAAACTATTTCGGTAATTTCGGGGCTACTTCGCTACTTTTGGGATTATTTCAGGATTTTCGGTAATTAAGAGACTATTTCGGGAACTTCGAGATTTTTAGAATTTTCGAGATTGTCACGACTATTTCTGGATTCTCAGTACTATTTCGGGATTTTCGACACTACATCGGAATTTTTAGAAGTTTCGGTACTATTTCGGGATATCCGAGACTCCGGAGCTTTCGAGACTAGTTTGGGGTTTTTGGAACTATTTCAGGATTTTCGGGACTATAGGGACTATTTCGTCAGTATGGGGACTTTTTCGAGACTACTTCGAGGTTTCTAGAATTTTCGGCGTTCTCGGGACTATTTCGAGATTTTTGAACCTGTTTCGATATTTTTAGGGTTCTAGGGTCTATTCTGGGTTTTTCGAGACTAAATATATCGATAAATTATCAATGAAAATAGCGATTATCATATCGATTCTTATATCGATAACAATACTGGTTATTATGCAATTGTCGATAACAACGCCGATAAAAATATCAAAAAATAAATCGAAAATATCGAAAAATAATTCCATAAAAGTATCGGTATATGTACCGATAACAATATCGAAAAATATATCGATAAAAATATCGAAAAATCGGTTAAAAACGCCATACATTTATCGATATTGGGATCGATTAATACACCAATTATTAAAAAATAGTCCCCTCCTCAGCGTTGGTCGTCTTGCCGCGGCGAGGGGGCTTAAATGGTGTCATGGTATAACTCACAGTGTGAATTGTATCATGCCTCCATGAACTAAGAGGGAAGCCTGGTATTGAAGCCTTCGGCAATATTCCTTAACAATCCAAGCTGGACTGTTGTTTTTATTGCTGAAGGTGGAAATGGCAGGATTACCGTACCAACACTACCCAAGCCAAGGTGTGTAGGCAACCGTGCCGATGGATGAATGGCCAGCGGGTAGTAAAAAATGGCTGGTCGCGTACGGTCCCCTCCGATGCCCGGGCAAGGTCGGTTGTAAGAAGTGCCTTCTCTATGCATACCGGCTCTGCGGACGAGTGACTAACCCTTTCCGGACTACTCGTGGGACCACATATGGAACAAAAACAAACAAACAACAACAACAAACAAACCAACAGCAGCAACAGGAACAGCGTACCAGCGAAGAAGGGGACGACGTAACGCTGTCAGAGGAGGAGCAGCTCCTCAAATCCCCAAGGTCAGGTAAGATGGTTGCAAGTACTCCTGGTGGCGCCAGCCATAGTACCCCAGTTGTACAAGCGCCAGAAACCAGCAGGGTGGAAGATGCCAGACAAAGTATCACCACTCTGCAAATAGTCAAAAATAGCACCGGTAGTGCCTGCCGTAGTACTCCGGACGAGCAGCCAACAACCAGCAAATCGGCGGCCGTTGCAGGCAGCAACCCCGCCTCTAAGAAAAGAAAACCCTCGGGCGTGGTCATGAGACAGATGTACCAGAAGGCGCTGTATATGTTAAATAAAATTGACAAAAATGCAGCGGCCGGTACGGTACATGAGCGTGACGAGGAAGACAAGGCAAAATACAGGCAAATAGTGGAAGAGTACGAAAAGTTACAGGCAGATCGTGCAGCCACAATCGAGGCCACCGAAGCGAAGAAGCGGAACCGCTCTCATAACGAAGGCGGCCAAGGGGCCATCGCAAAGAAGGCTAAGCAAGGTGGTGATGCGGAGTCCGCAGCACCCGCGAAGCATCGCTATTTTAGTGACGTCGCCAGAGATCATCTACAGGCGGCGATAATAGATGAAAATAGCAAGACACCGCTAGCAGTGCAGCAAAAATGGGTGGAGATTGATGTGAGGCTGTCGAGCCTCGTAATGAACCACGTACTCGACAACCCCGAAGGTCCTCACCCAGAGTTCGACTCGTCGGAATCCCTACGGGGATACCGGGTAGTCAAGTGCGCGAACCAGTTCTCCCTGGATTTCCTTGCTGGATGCGTCGCTAAGATCAGCGACACTTTTGTCGGCTTGAAGCTCAAGCTGATCCCAGCTAAGGACATTCCAAGGAGACCACGTGCGCGCATTTGGCTGCCTCCGATGGATGAACCAGCGAAAAGTTGCTGCGGTGTCTTAAGCTACATAACAAAGACATACCGGCGATCGAGGAATGGGAACTTATAAAAGTTGAAGACCCAAGAAGGCCTACAAATAAGCCCATTCTACTAGCTATTTGTGCAGAGTCACTAGACGCCTTAGAGAAGGCTGACTATCGGCTCTGCTTCGGTATCCGTAAGGCTAGAGTGCGGGTATTCCTCAGAGAGGTTAGCCCGGTAGAAGAAGATCCCGGGGTTGATGGAGCTGGTGAGCTTCTCATGGGTGTGAAGCTGACAGATGACCCTGAACCGGAAACTTAAAGTAGCCCAAATAAATCTGCAGCACTCCAAATGTGCTACAGATATTCTAGTTGTCCTTCTCAGTGAGGAGGATATAGACATTAGCCTAATTCAAGAGCCCTGGGTCAAGCACGATACAATCATGGGACTAAATATAAACAATTATACCCTCTACTATAAGAGCGAGGTGGGTAAACCGCGGGCGTGTATTCTTATCAAGAACGGTATAAATGCATTCCTTTGCTCTAATTTCAGCACATCAGATACAACAATGGTTAAGGTGGAGACCACCGGACAGCCAAGTATACTCCTGGTCTCATCATACATGGCCCACGATAGGGACAGTCCGCCAACCGAAATCCAGGAGATAATAGCCAAAAAACCCCAGACAAATTATAGTCGTCGGCTGCGATGCGAATGCAAGGCATCCAGTTTGGGGTAGTTCTACGGAGAACGACCGAGGTGAGTCTTTACTACACTTCTTATTAAATACTAACTTAAGCATCTGCAATAGAGGTAATACACCCACATTCATATTCCCGAGTTCAAACCGGTTTCCTGGATGGGAGGAGGTGCTGGATCTGACCCTGTTGTCAGAGAACGGCAGCGTGTCTGTAGAAGAGTGGAGAGTATCTGATAGGCCTTCAATGTCTGATCACCGTCTGATCCTCTTTAATCTGCACGGAATTTCCAGCACCCCCTCAAAATACAGAAACCCCCACAGGACTAATTGGGAAAGATATAGTAACACAATTAAGCATAAACTAAGTAAGCTCCCACTAAATACAACTGTCACTACAGTTGAGGACCTTGATAATAGAGTAAATAAACTAGAAGAGGTTATGAAGAAAGCCTTTGAAAGATCAACTCCAGTTAGTACAGCAAGAAAGAAATCCCCACCCTGGTGGAATGGGGATCTCAGAGCCCAAAGAGACAAATTAAGGAAAATCTACAATGATTGCTTTAGAACTAAAAACTGGGCGCCTTATAAAAGCGCCCTCAGATCTTATAAAAAAGGAGTTGAGAAAATCTAAAACTAAATCCTGGCAATCTTACTGCTCTTCTATAGAGAACTCTAAAGACTCAGCCAGGCTCAGCAAAATCCTATCAAAAGAACACACAAATATCACACTCATTAAGGGAGAAAACGGGGTGTGGACGAACACAGCTAGTGATTCTCTAAACACGTTAGTCAAGTTCCATTTCCCAGGATGTATTCGACATCCACCCACATCAGGGTCAATTGAACCTGGTTCAACTAGCAGTATACTGTTGAACTCGATCGTGAGCAGGGAAAAGATTATTTACGCTATTAACAGCTTCTCTCCCTTCAAATCCCCTGGACCAGATGGCGTAATCCCAGCAATGCTCCAGAGGGTGAAGGGAGAGATAGCACCGTTACTCGTGACTATTTTTAAGGCTACCATTACCTTGTGCTACATTCCTAAAAGCTGGAGAAGGGTAAAAGTCGTGTTCATACCCAAGCCAGGAAGGAAAAACCACGAAACAGCAAAAGATTTTAGACCCCTAAGCCTTACCTCCTTTGTGCTTAAAACAATGGAAAGGCTTCTCGACATTTATATACGATCGCTGTTAGGTGAAGCGACACTCTCAACAGCACACCATGCATACATCAAAGGCAGATCCACTGAATCTGCTTTGCATGAAGTGGTGAGCTTAATAGAAAGATCGTTGCACTTTAAACATTATACGCTGGCGGCATTTCTTGACATCGAGGGCGCATTTAATAACATTGAGGTTGACACCATCATAGACTCTTTGATAGATATTGGTGTTGACGACAGTGTTTGTAGATGGATACGATCGATGCTAGTCAATAGAATCATTCAGGCAACAAATGGGGCTAACTCTATTACACATCATGTGAACAGGGGCACTCCACAGGGCGGAGTGCTCTCACCACTGCTATGGGTGATAGCCCTGAACGGTATATTGCTAGAACTCAATAGAGGGGGAGTCAAAGTTGTGGCGTATGCGGATGATGTTGTAATAGCAGCCACAGGTCCATTCCTCTCTACCGTTAGCGAAATCCTTGAAGGAACCCTGGGAAGACTACACGCCTCGGCTACGAGAAGCGGCCTAAATGTGAACCCAGCGAAGACAGAACTTACCCTATTTACAAACAGACACAAACTACCACAATTCAAGCTACCATCGCTAGACGGCAATGCGCTCTCATTGTCCCCCAGCGCAAGGTATCTTGGAGTCGTGCTCGATAACAAACTTAACTGGAAAACCAATATCGAATTCCGTAGACAGAAGGCCTACATAGCATACTACACTTGCAAGAGAATCTTCAGTAGAAACTGGGGACTAAATCCTAAACTTGTGATGTGGATGTATACCGCGATCATAAGACCAATTCTAACATACGGCGCCTTGGTTTGGTGGCCCGGCCTAAGCAGACAATATAATGTCAGCAAGCTAAGAAGCATACAAAGGGCAGCAAGCGCAGGAGTAACAGGCGCACTAAGATCCTGCCCGGCAGAAGCTTTAAACGCCATCCTCAATTTAATTCCTATTGATCTCCACCTGAAAGAAGTGGCTATGAAATCGGCGGTCAGACTCAGATAGTCGGGCCTTTGGAGGACTAGACACTTCGGACATGGGTTGATCATAAATCAAATGCAACTAAATAGGACGACAGATTATATGGTAGGCAATTTGGACTTCAGCTGTAACGCGCAAGTGCTATTCCCATCCAGAAGGGACTGGAGAAGAGACCGAGTGGCCGACCGAGAAGAGATCTCTCTATACACCGATGGATCCAAGATGGATTGCGGTGTGGGAGCAGGTGTCTACTCCAAGGAACTAGGCGTGGCTCTGTCTCTGCGGTTGGGAAATAATACAAGCATCTTCCAAGCGGAAGTCCTAGGGATCCTAGAAGCCTGCAAAATTCTAGGCAATAGGGTTGGACACAGCAGTAAAGCAACAATATATTCTGACAGCCAGGCTGCGCTATTGGCAATAGCGTCACCGGTTACCAAATCCAAGCTAGTTGGGGAATGCAAAGTAATATTGCGCTCAGTGTCTCAGTCAAATACCGTCTCTCTTGTCTGGGTTCCCGGACATAGGAACATAGAAGGCAATGAGAAGGCGGAGTAGTTAGCGAAGGCAGGAGCCGGTTTGGATGAATCCCAGGCAGTGGCACTGGGTTGCCCTCTTGGAGTAGTCCAAAGAGAGATTACTACGCATTTCCTTGAACTGGCTAGACGCAGGTGGTCAGATATACAGACTTGTAGGATAGCGAGAAAACTATGGCCTGACTATAACAGGGCGAAAACCTTGGACCTGCTTAGCAGATCAAGGCCAGAGGTATTTAGAATTTTAGCAACCATCACAGGCCACTGGCCCATAGGCAAACATGCGGCAAAAATAGGTCTACCCCATAATATGATTTGCCGCAGCTGTCAACTAGAAGATAGCGAAGAAAGTGTCCAGCATTTCCTGTGTGAATGTCCAGGCCTTTCGAACATTAGACACAAGACGTTAGGGAAACATCTAATATCTGAACTAACCGACCTATCAGGAGCTACCATTAGCGAAATCGGCAGATTCATTAGAGAGTCGAAATGGTTCGACCTAGCAACATAGGAAGTGCACAGACAAGATATTTATCCCCCGCGAGAAGTGCATCAAAATGGCGCAATAATGCGCTAATTGTATCCTGGGCAGCGACTAGGAAGCACTGCAACCAACCAACCAACAAAAAATAGTCCCGAAAGTGACGAAATAGTCCCGAGAGTCTCAAACATCTCCCAAATAGTCCCGGGACTCCCTAGAATCCCGAAATGGTGTGGTGAGAACGGGTGTAATGGGTTCAGATGTGGTGAGTTAAGGTTTGGTGAATTTAGGTGTGGTAGGATCAGGTGTGGTGACCATCCATATGGGAAGCACTTGATGACATTTATTGCCAATCAATGCCTTGGGGTGCATATTTTTTAATGATGTCAAGCGAAATTCTCGCCATAAATTTGATTTATTGTCTTTCAGTGGATATTTTGGCTGTGACAAAAGTTTTTCATTGCCGCTCATTATTTTAGAGGGAAATTCCCACGAAATTTCGCAGTTGTCACATCAGAACATAGCTCGGGGTGCACTGCCTTTGTCGTAAAGCATACAAAGACGGCCACATAACCCTTCGTAAAGTTGGAAGTCCTTAAAATGGACGCTTTTATCTTGCATAAGTCTATAATCGGCATAGTGATGCAAAAGGGGATTTCGCCGGTATTATTATGGGGTGGCGTTCGTTATATGTGAGGCTATAGTCTACAAAGCACAAAGCAGATCTTTCATGTTAAAAGTGGATTGAGTACCAAAAGTATATTCTTTTTATCAATTAATTTTTAGTTTCTTAGCACTGAAATAGCGCTTTGAGTAGATGTAACAAGAGAAACCTTTGCTTTTCGTACATCTTCATGCGTTAACGTGTTACATGGGGAGTTGGGCGTTTTCATCACCTTATTTTTGAGGTTTTATGCAAATTTTAACATATAGGCGACTACCCTGAAGGCTCGGCGAAACGATGAGAATCGCCCTGGGATGTCAGTGTCACCCAATATTGTATGCAAGCTTTCGACTTTTCGACTTTCTGGGGCAATTATGTTGCTGGCGGAAGATTGTGGGGAATTCTTTCTTGTGATTTTATTAGCCATCTGGAGCTGTTCTACTAAAGTGAGTTTATGGCGCGGAGCAGGGGTTTGGGTTATCACCACTGGCTACATGTCGCCAAGTGGCTCACTCGACTAGTTCAAGTATTTGGGCTGTGCGATTGGAAGCGCACGCCTTCCCTGACCATTTGAGGTTTTTAGGGTTCTTATAAAAAAATTTTAATAATAGTATATGGTAAAATAAACAGTTCGGTATTGTTATTGGAAGTCTCCTGAAGAGAAGCGAAGTTTTCCGATCGATAATTATTGATTTTCCGACTTCCGTCTTTGCTTTTTTTTTTACTACCCTAATGTACAAGCAGAAGGGTACTGCGGGGCAAATCTTGCAAG